TCATTATTGTTATCATCTTTATCATCATTACATCACCAAATCACCAACATAATTATCAAAATTTCGAAAAAAGTTCTTTTCAAGCACTCAACCACACACATAACCACACACACACATAACCACACACACACATAACCACACACACACACACACACACACATAAACGTGGAGCTCATAATTTAAATGTATTTGATATTTAACGCATGAATGAGCCGGCTTAATTGGTTGAAAGGAACCAGGCTATAGACAATCTATCGGGATGTTTATAATGGGTATAAGAAGGTTTCACTTATGAGGATGATGTTGAAAGTTTTTATGAAAAGTTTTTGAGTGTATGGAGATTTCTGCGTTGTTTTATTAAATTGGATTTAACATTTTTATGGGTTTTGATTTTGAGAGGTGAATTTAAAAAATGAATTTATTAAAAACTTGAGGTCACAGGATCAAACATTGTTTTTTGCAATGTTGTCGGATTAAAAATCTTAACGACTGAAACTAACAATCTTCAATAATAAATAAAACACCATAAACTATCGAAGTGATTCGTGGAAGCTATATGAAGGGGAAAACTGCGGTTCTGTTCTAGTAGGTATTCGGGCTTCTGATGAGTCCCCAGGTAGGGACGAAACGCGTGTCCTCTCTGTCCAAACAAATACAATTCTTTTCACTCTTGCTCATTGCTTTTTTTAGTTTTCTTGCAACAGCGTAACCTCAACAATGCATTTTAATCATTATTTTTTCACTATTTAAAACAGAGCCATGATTTTAAATTTTTATTGAAAATTCAAAAATTTATTTCCTAGAAAAATTTCTTGTTCAAATTTTCAAAAACTTAATTTTTAATACGTTGCCAATTTTGCACTGAAGACATTTTTCAATCTAAAATTGGGAAAATAATGTCACAAGATTAGAAGATGAAAAGATGAAGAAGATGAATATTTCATTTTTTAATTAAATTGAAAAAAATTACGTTTAAAAATTGGATATATCAAAGAAATCTTCTAAAATTCGAACTAGAGAAATAAAAAACCTCGTAAGTTGTAGTACTGCCAAAAAACAATCACATTATCGCGTTAATATATCTTTCCCCATCTGCCATTACTGATTTCCTAAAAATTCGCTGGACAGTTAAAAATTTGCTTTATGTCGATTACGATATGATGATGAAAATGATGAAGATGACGACGATTATGGTCATGGTTATCTGTTTGTTCATTCATTTATTTAATCATTCATTCTTTAATTCATTCATCCATCCATCCTTACTTTTTATCATTTGATCTGCTATACTGTGTGTAAATAAAATGCATGTCTAGCACAATCCAACTTAATTATAAGTTCAGTAATGTAGCGAAATGATAGATAGAAAGAACGATTTTACTTCAAAGGACTAAATGAATGAATGAATGAATGGATGAGTGCATGAATGACGGAGCGTGGAGCTGGATGAATTAATGAGCGCACGCCTCGCTGCTCTAACGCACGTTCGCGCAATCAATAAGTAAAAAACAAAACTAAGGATGGATGAATGGAGTGAATGAATGCATGGATGAACGAACGAAAATGATTGATTGAATGAATGAATGAACTAATAAACGAATAAATGAATTAAGACCTGATCAAAAGCAAGCTAATGATACAAAGACGAAAATTCGCCAAAGAAATTTGATACTAAATAGATAAGAACACTCAGTAATATGGGGGCATCATGACTCTTTCAAGTAAAAAAAAACCATTCGCAACAGAATTTTGTAACACGTGGAGAATAGAAGGGCAAGCGGCAAACTTGTTCAACGTTAACATCATTGCAACACGCTTAAAAATGAAATCGGCACTAAAATGTAATGCTAGTCTTATGTACGAATGGGGCATATTTCAAAAGTTGACGAATGAATGAAAATGAATGAAACCATTACAAAAACAAGTAAATAAATGCTTGTGAAATAAATTAAATAAACATAACTAAAAGGAAAAAAACAAAGAATTAGAAAGCAAAGATAGAAGAACGAGAAGTGAACTAATTTGCCATTGAAACAAGATGTTGAAGAACGAGTTAGAGGATAAACAATGGGTATAAACTACAAATTTAATCATTCAACACCTATACCAATGAATGAAGGAACGAACAAATGAATGAACAAATGAATAAATGAATGAATGAATGAAGAAACAAATGAGTGGGTGAAAAACAAATAAATGAATGAATGAGGAATGAGCAAATGAAAAAACAAAAAAATATGAATAAACAAAAACTGGAGACAAAAAAATTTAATTAGCAAACGGCGTGAAAAAAATGGAATAAATAACTTCGCGAATGAATGCGAGATGATGACAGGAAGAAACCAACGAAAACAAAAACGCAAAACAAAAAAAATTTGAATTGAAGGAAATTTGAAGAAAAAAATCAAATTTGAAAAAACAATTTCCGAAATTTGCGCTAAATAATGGAAAAGAAATGGAAAATTAAGTAAAGTGGAGAATGTGTGATGAATGAAGGAAAGAATGCATAAAAGAATGAATGAATGAGTGAATGAATAAATGAAAGAATAAGGGAATGAGGAAATGCAGTTCTTTATTGGAATGTATGAACAAAGGAATTCGAGTGAAAAATCAAATTAGTAATTTAAAAAAGAAGATTGGGCGTTTTTTTCTTCTAAGAAACCAGCATACACACACACATACACACACACATACACACACACACACACATCAGACACACACACACACACACACACATACAATTATACAAACATACAAACAAACAAACATACAAACAAAGTATACACACTCTTATTATTGTATACATCCACACCCATAAACACGCTAACAGAAGGCACGAAAGCATACATATTGTATATTTCACACCGCGGAGTGCCGAAAAAAGTATTTAAATCAGAAAAAACAAAGGAAATAAATGACGGCTCATTGTGGCGTACGTTTTGACACTTGCGCCCCTCTACGCTTCTGTGCTGCGTACATTACTGCGTGTGTGTGTTTGTTTGTTTGTTGGCTTGTTTGTTCGTTCGTTTGTTTGTTTGTTTGTTTGTTTTGTTTGTTTGTTTGTTTGTTTGTTTGTTTGTTTGTTTGTTTGTTTGTTTGTTTGTTTGTTTGTTTGTTTGTTTGTTTGTTTGTTTGTTTGTTGGCTTGTTTGTTTTCATCTGGGTACACATGTTTGTACATATTTTTGTTTGCAAAGTACTCTTATATCGTTTTTTGGGAGAATTTTTGGAAAAAGTATTCCAGACTCTTACAAATTTCAATAAATCTAACTTTAGCTCATTGATTTAAAAGCACATTTAAAAAATTTGTTGTTTCTAATTTGTGGAGCCAAAGAAACTAAAGTATTTTAAAGTCCCAGCAGAACCATTGTAACTGACGACAACTCAATTATACATACACGAAATAAAAATCTGCATTGAAGGTTCTTATCACATCTATCGCTGTTAACATCACGAAACTCATCCATCAACCCATCCATCAATCAATTTATCAAGCCATTTATCATGCATGAATTCTTGAATCAATTTATCCAATAATCAATCTATTACAAGGCATCAATCATCTCATCAATCAAGCAATTCTACTATCGTTTCTGTGAAAGATTTATTCCATTTATCCATCACTCTATCCATCAATCCATCCATCCATCCATCCATTCATCAATCAATCCATTCATCAATCAATTCATCCCCCATCCACCCTTTCTTTCATCCATCAATCAATCAAACAAAATTCATCAACCTCCATAACTGAATATAAAAATTGTAATCAGCGGCTTCTCCGTTCGTTTCATTTGGCAAATAATTAAGAGCCTCATCAATCCTATCGAGGAATTCGATACTGTGAGACGATAAATGACTATCCGCAGACACATTCTTGCACATACACACGCCCGCATACACACACACACAAACACACACACAAACACACACACAAACACATACACATACATCCCAAAACACTGCAGTAAAGACATTAACGATTATGCCTAGGAGGAAATTTATTTATAGAATGAACATGATTAAGAGCAGTTTAGAAAGATTTTCTGTGTAACTATCAAACCAACAGTTTAAAGAAATAAAAAAAACAACTATTGTATGGTTTTTACTTTGAGATGAACGAATGTTTTCATGAGAAATAAAATATATTATAGAAAAACCTTATTATCATTATTATTATCATTATATCGTTATTATTATTATTATTATTTTTTCTTCTTTTTCTTCTTATTATTTTTTCTTTTTTTATTCTCATTATTACAATATTTAATTACCTTGTAATAAATTTTCAAAATCATCAGCTACGCACACAAAAGACGTGTGATTGCCGGAACCTCTTTGCATTCGAACACAGTCAGAGCAGCACCACGATCAGTTTTCTTAACAATGACACACTATTTCGACGACTGTGTGTGTTTAATATTTATTATTTTCATATTTCCAAATATACTTTTTGAAGAATTTGCGCTTTAACATTTCAGCGCAATGCATAGTGAGAATGACACAAAACGCATCCAGGCCAAGTGCTTCACTTCAATTCTTATGTTTATTTTAATGTGTTTTCATATTAAAACACTATCGACTTTTAGAATTTCACTTTAAATTTATGATAAAACATTTTAAAAGCTAACAGTTTATTTAAAACCATATCTATATAAATGTCTAACAATTTTTTTATTAGATTTATGACTACGGCAGAGTTTCCTTTAATCATATATATATATATATATATATATATATATATATATATATATATATATATATAAAATATAATATGTTATATTCTATATAATGCCTCTATTGAAAAAAACTCTATCGAATTAAATTGTCTTTTAAAATCTGCCTTCGCACCACGTTCACTTACGTCCTAAAATTTGCACTTTTATCTTCATTATTTATTTATGTAAATAAAATAAATGGATTTTTTATACCACCGTAGCTAAATATCTTTTGTTTAAATTTAATTTAATATAAATTGTTATAAATTTAAATAAATTCACGATGGACGAAACTTGGACTTTAATCTTGCTATCCCTGGCTATGTTGATTGGGTGCTATCTGGCTGGTTCCATTCCTCTGGCCATAAGTTTGTCCGAGGTCAGTTGAGTTAATGATTGGTTGTTTGATTGATTGGTTGGGATAAACAAAATTTTAATTTTTTTGTTTGTAATGATTAATTATTTCATTTTTTGATTAATCATGATCAAATTTTTAATGTTTGATTATTATCCCTTTTATTTTATTTCCTAGGCTTTGCTTTGCTTTGGTCTTTCATGGATGTCCCATCATCTCATCTTTTTTTAATTTGTATTAATGATTTTTATTGATAAATGTCAAATAAATGATATTTATTATAATCTATATAATGATATTGATATTAATAATTAATAATATAATATCATATATTATTTATTTATAGTTTATAATATCTATTCTACATCTATCACTGTCAGTCAAAGTTGAAGTTAGTGACAATATTAGGTGCTGGTTTGTTGGTTGGGACTGCCCTTGCAGTGATCATTCCTGAAGGCATCCATGCATTGACAGCTCATCAAGGTTATTTGCTTGGGTAGAGCATAATTTTATCAATTTTATTTTATTTTTCTAACTCTACCTAATTCAAAGTTTTCAAGTTAAATTTTTGTCGAAATATATAAAAAATATTTTAAATATTAGAGTAATATATTTTTAAAAATTTTTCAACTTTCAGGCTCTCACAGTCATGATCATAACATCCAGCAACCAATTATTAGGCAAAAAAGAGACAACCAACCTCTCCCAATAAAACCATCACCAAGCAATCCTCTCATCCAACCAAACATACAACAGAGAAGCGACCAGAACTCAGACCATCACCACGATCATGACCACCATGATCACGAAGCCCACTTAGAAATTAAAGAGACATCAGGGAATGAACATGGGAGTCACAGTGAGAAGGATGTGCACAGTTACATTGGGGTAGCCCTCGTCCTTGGGTTTGTCTTCATGCTGCTCGTTGATCAGATTGGTGGTAGTCACAATTTCAGTTCATCTTCTGGTTGGTTGACTGTTTTTTTGTGGTGGAAGTTCTTTTTTTAAATGTTGGCAGTTGTTTAATTAGGTTTGTTTTATTTTCACCTGTAAGAAAATTAAACTTTTTGGTAGTTTTTTTTAAACATTTATTCATTTTTTACCTTACTAATATTTCACGTTTTTCAATCTTACTAATAAAAAGCTAAGGTTAATATTTTTTATTAAAATAATTAATATTAGAAATATTATTATTATTAGTAGTAAAAATATTATTAATAATATTTAAAAAAAGTAATTTATTAATGATGAGTTGTTTCAATGAAACCAATTTGCATACTAGTCGAGCTCGCTCATTCATCATTTTTGTTCATGCTCAGTCAATCAAAAATTATTTTATTTTATTTTATTTACATTATCGAATGTATGTTTGTAGTTCATTACAACGGTCTATGTAATGTTTTGAATTATATTTATAATTATATTTCTATATTTATACTTTTTTTAAGATGGAGGCTTACAAAACAGACATAAAATTACGGCCACTCTTGGATTGGTTGTCCATGCTGCAGGCTGGTTGGCAGTATGAATGATTGATTGTTTGGCTGGTTGGTTGATTGAATGGATGATTGGTTGATTGAACATTGAATGGATGGGTGTGTGTTTGATTGATTTCTTGATTAATCTGATGCCTAATTTGTTGAGTGGCTTGATGTCCAAATAATTAATTGAATGAGTTTATGGTTGGTTTTGTGGCTGATTGATCAGTTGGCTAATCAGTTGGTTGTTTGATTGGTCAGTTGGTTGATTAGAAGAACAGTTGTTTTGTTATTTATATAGCCTAGTTGGTTCATAAATTAGTTTATTGATTCACTGTTTATTAATTAATTAGGTAATAATTTACTGTTTAAAATTTAATATCTTTTTTTATTATTTATCATCTTTTATTACATATCAACACGTACTTTCCTTTTATCTCATGTACTAAACAGTCAAACATTTGTTACGCTTATTGATTGAAATTATTGATATTTCTACTGCAATATATATGTTTGTAGCTAGAGCTGTGTGGAGCTTGTTCTAATTAGTCATTCTATTTTCGTTTTTGTTTTACTGATTTTGGCATTAGCTGTTTGTTTATTTCGTTTATTTATTTTCATGTTCTGTTATAAATAGTTTTTTATACATAAGCTCCGTTTTACTCATAAAGTTAATTTATCTCTATAGTTAAGGGTATTTCATTGCTTTATGAGACATTAATCAAACTGCTCCATCCATTTATGCGAATTAGAACTGGAACAAATTATAAATGTTTCATTTTCTTTAATAAATTTTTATTTAAGCGTAGCAAGCGTCTAATAGGCTATGCACTTCCTTAAATCATTTATTCTAATTAAGGTAAATTTATGATAATTTATGATAATTTAACAGCCGATGGTATTGCACTTGGGGCTGCTGCCTCGACATCTCAGATGCACGTTGAGATGATTGTCTTCGTGGCTATCATGCTACACAAGGTTGTTAACAACATTATCAGGAAAAACCCTTTCAACGTTCTATCAATAATAACATTGATGGGTGGTTCTACTAAAAAAATAGCAAATTCATTATAGATACAAAACTTTACATGACATAAATAACATTACAACAATCAATTACACTGTATTACAATGATAACAACAACAGCACGACATTGCATTGTACTTTTAACAAGACATTCAACAACTGCATCAAACAAAACAACACACACACACATTATTTTTCACACCAACGACTCAATAAGTAAAGACAACAACCCCAACCAACTACAACAAAAACAGGCCCCAGCAGCATTTGGACTTGTATCATTCTTGTTACACGAAGGATTTGACAGAAATCGAATCAGGAAGCATCTTGCTGTTTTTGCTCTCTCCGCTCCCGTTTTAGCTGTCCTCACCTACTTTGGACTTGGTCAGGTGAGTTGCTTACATTTCTTCTTTGAATTCGTTTCATCATTAAAGTAGCAAAAGTTCATATGATAATTTAGCTAGCCTGCTGCCTGTATTTTATGAATCAACGTGCTGTCCTTTTAAATAGTTGAAGAAAGATAATTTGTTAAATCTACTAAACACTCAACTACCATTATACAACAAACTACTTTCAACCAAATTAGATACTTTATCTCATGAATTATTCAAATACGATCCACAATGTTTGTTCTTTTGTTCATTAATTTTAAATCCACCAAATAATCACTCAGCTACAAACTACTTAACTAAATTCAGAAAAGCAAAGAGGCTCTATCGGAGGTGAACGCCACTGGGCTAGCCATGTTGTTCAGCGGAGGTACCTTCCTGTACGTAGCCACAGTGCACATCCTTCCTGAACTTTCCAAAATGGGTTCCAGTGGTCACCAACTTCAATCCAACATCCTCCCGGAAAACATGCCAGGCAGTTCAGGGAGTATCACAATCAACCACTACCACCACCATAGTAAAGGGTTTAACAGACTCGAGTTGACTGTCATGGTCGTAGGCTGTCTACTGCCACTCATTCTTGCTCTGGGCCATCATCATTAATTTGAAATGATATGTTTGTGTGTGTGTGTGTGTGTGTGTGTGTGTGTGTGTGTGTGTGTGTGTGTGTGTGTGTGTGTGTGTGTGTGTGTGTGTTGTCTGTGTTCTTATATTCTTGAAGACTATTGAAAACATCCTTGACACTAAATTTTTCATTTGGATGCTCTGGTTTTCATTTTTGATTGTTGTGATGTATATAAATAAATTATATGTAAATAAATTTGAATTGAAATGTGTGAGAATTCCTAATTCTTACAATATATATATACATACATATGTATATATGTGTGTGTATGTATATGCAACTGCTGCTTTCATTCATATGAAATAAAATGTCAGATCTAAACAAACGGTCCTACTACGTCTAATTTAATTAATGAAGATTCTTCTTGTTTGCAGTTGACATTATTTAGTTTGATATTTAAAAATATTTTATTTTAGCCATACTATTTGGGTGGAAAAAATGAGAGAGAGAGAGAGAGAGAGAGAATTTGCGAATTTTATTTGCAATGTTTTCAATCACATACATACTAACGGAAAAACATTAAATTTGTCTGTCGGTCTCTCTCTCTGTCTGTCTCTCTTATTTCAAGTGTGTTCGATGCGTTTTTATTTCCATAAAGACGTTATAAACATTAACTTCTTACGTTTGTCTTATCGCAAGTGTATTTGTTCTAATGAATTTTTATTTTTGATTTTAAAGTGACACTACTTCGTTACAGATTTTTTTCCCTGTATAATTATTAGGTTTGTCACTTTTATGGTCAAGCGCTTACTTAATCGTACAGTGTTCTGGTTTGATTGCACTGTCAGACAGACAACCAAATTAAAATACACGAGTACATTTTATAAAATGAACGTTTTGTGTGTATGTTGATGCATACAAACACATACATTCATACACACATACATACGTACAAACATACATACATACATATAAACACATATACAAACGTACATACATACAAACATATATACAAACATACATACACACAATGCAGTTTTAGTTTCTATTGAAGCAGCTGTTACATCGTTTTTAAACTGTTTCAGTTTGTTGCTCATTTATGTACCACCTTTGAAGTTTAGACACGTGAACAAGCTGATGTTCAGCACGGTTCATTTGTTCACATTATTTTGGTCCACATTTATAATGTTATTTGAAATTTTTATTATTAGTAGTATGCATTTCATTTTGATTACTCATTAAAAAATCAGAATATGAAAGACGCGAGATTTTGTGGATTGTTTTAATCATTTATCATAATCTTTTCTTAATCATTGAAATCTACTATAGAGATATCGAAATGAATCGTCATTATTAATTTTACTCCCGTTAGCCGTTGTTGCATCGTTAAACAACGGAGCAAAGTATTATTATTACTGCTATTGTTGTAGCAATATCATTTTTATTTGTATTATTTATTTATTCATTTATTAAACTGGTTTTCGGCATCTAGAATAAAGTCGAAACTGAAATCCTATTTCTAACTTGCAGTGACTGGATTCTTAAGCTGGTTGCTAACGAACGTTATGTAAAGTAAAAGCTTCTTCATGGTAGACGAAGAATAAATATATATGTATATTCATTCATTTTTTTTATTCTTCCATCATTCATCCATTTATCCACTCGTTCTTTCATTCTTTCATTAAATATTTTATAATTGATACTACCATTAAGTAGTAAATATCAACAAGCTGTGTAGTAGCAGTAGTTGTAGTAGCAGTTGTTGTAGTAGTAGTGGTGGTGATTGTGTGGTTATTTTTATTTATTTCTATGATTATTTATCTCCAATTTTTTTCATCCTCTGTTCTTAATACTATTAAATTTTAAACGACGTAATGTAACTTATTTGACTTATTCGTGCATTGAACGGTTACACAAATTATTTTTTTTATTGATTCAGGCTGTATTATCTTTGGGTTTTTTTACCTTTCTTTAAATATTTAATTTTATTTTATCGTGTTGTGGCTGGTGTGCAATGCAAAATGTCTTAAAGAAGTTTTATTTGTAACTTGTGTGTGTGTGTGTGCGTGATGTATGTGTGAATAATGTGTGTGTGTGAGAGAGTGAAGAGTGAGTGAGTGAGTGAGTGAGTGAGTGAGTGAGTGTGTGAGTGAGTGAGTGAGTGTAAGGTTACAATTCGCTCTTTGTAAATTTATATAGTACAAATTTGGACACGATTCGACGATGTACACTCAAAATTCTCCACTGATTAACTAAAATTTCACATCATCATGACGTCATAAAAAAGTTTTAATAACAGCTTTTTGTCTTGTCGTGTTCATTTGCAGGATAATAATCTCAAATTGTGGTCAACTAGTGGTCAATATGGACGATAAGTAAATAAATTTGTTATTGGTATCGTATAGATGATGTTTTTTTAGAAATGCGATTAAATGAAGGATATAGGTTACTTCAAGTTAGCTCTAGTCTAGCGGTAAAAGCAGCAGTGGTGGTTTTAAAAACTGTTGTGGTATTTTCTTTTCAATTAACGAGAATTGAACTATACCGCTTTACCTTGAAAAGTTTACGTCATGATTATTTAGCTGTCGAGGATATAATTATTTTGAGTTTCCAGCAGGCATTTAGTGAATGGTAAGGGCAATGCTGCTCTCAATTCTAATGATGTTTATAATGGGAAGAATTCAAAAAGAGCACATCCAGTATAAAATTAGTGGCTATTTATAGTGAAATAAATAGCTTATTGAAATAACTAGTAACTCATACTTGTAGAATAAAACATTGTGTATAATTATATATATATATATATATATATATATATATATATATATATATATATATATATATATATATAATAACTATATTATTCTTTTATTTGTATTTATGATTCTTTGGTCAGTTAACTTGTTCCCTTCTTAGTCCTTCTTCGTTATTGCTCGTGTTCTCGTGCTCTCTCAGTTTTTTCGTCCTATTATCGTTCTCTGAAGATTTTGATTGCTATTCTTACCTACCGTCCTTTAATAAATAAGTAATATCTTATTTTTAGTTTTGTCATAAATTGATTTTTGTGAAGGTTATATGATATATATTTATATTATATATCCTTGAAATAAAGTTTTTTAAGGTGATTGACAGCAACCTTGTTAGTGCCCATCCCAAGTAGCAGCATGTAGTATATAAGAAGCTTATTTATAATTATTATAATGATGTAACATTGTAATTTTTTTAACAGAACATCGCCTGTTTAGTCTAATTTAAAAGTATTACAATTTTTCTAATACTTTTCATTGACTTTTAGAATTTGACAAATCTTCTATTTTGGTCAAGTTACAAATCTGTTTTTATTTTTAAATAATTTAATTTTAATATTAATTTTAATTTAAATCAATAATAAAAATTGAGTAATTTTTTATGTTAATAAGTAAGCATTTAAAAAATATTTTTAAATTCCAGAAAATGATGTTTGTGTAGAAAAATTTATTCTTAGTTTAGCAATAGCTTTGACAAGGGAGCTATTGAATAAAAATGAAATTAAATCTTTTTTTGTATCATTTGTAAAGTGCATCATAGTGTTATAGGCATTAATAATGGATAGTACTATTTTAACATATTGTTCAAATTTGAGATGTTTAACATTATTTTATGTTTAAATTTTATGTTTAATTTTACATTAATTCTGCTTTAGTCTTAATTGTTTATTTAATCTAATTTATAAATTAGAAAAATTGGTTTAAATTAAATTTGAAACTTATAATTTATTTCCCATTCAGACATGTCATTGAAAGAACAGTTGCAAAAACTTGCGGTGCCTCAAAGCAGACATCATTTGGAAAGTCAAAAGTCTTCTTTGTTATTTGATTCTAATGAAGTTGCATCCCTCGACAGTGAAGTTGTTCTTGAGTTGGCCATCAGTGGTTTGAATGCTCTAGTTGCCCTCAATAAATCATTCACAAAGTATGAGCCACTGTTGTTCAATAAAAGTTTTGATAGAATGATTCAAGGAAAAAAAGTTAATAAAGACCTAGACAATGTGATAAAACAGTACTTGATTGAATTATCTCCATATTTTCTTACCAAGCCTGCTTTAAAAACTCTGGAATGGTTAGTTTACAAGTACCAGATACACCAGTTCAACATTGATGCTTTGTTGATGACAATACTACCTTACCACTACTCGAATATGTTTGTCAAAGTTTTGACAATTCTTGATATCCAGAATCCTACAAACAAGTGGCACTGGTTGTACAATTGTGCTAAATCTGGCATCCCATTGCCAAAATCTGTTTTGATCAACCATTGTAAGAAGGATTCTTTGTTCTTACACTCAATATTCAATTACGTTGATGATTATGTGGAGCAATTTGGAAGGAAGAGTAGTCATTTAAATTTATTTCTGGAACATGTAACACATATTGGTATCTGTTTATTAAACAATGTTTCAGAAGTGACAGAGGAGATTGTATCTGTTCTCATTCAATTTTGTATTCGCGGATTGAAATCTAAATGTTTGATCTGGGAGTTAAGTTGCTATTCAATACTAAGCAGCTTGACAGCTAATGTAACTCTAAACTTCAATAATGTGTTGTTGTTATGTAGACTCATTGCAAAGAAACATTCTAACAAATTATTCAAAGAAGCAATGTGCTGTCTCAGTGTTATAGTAGCCAATCAGAATGGTGAATATCCAGATGATTTGTTCAAATTTTTAAAGTTAGATGATACTAACCTCTTAGAAATTCAAACACTCAATGAAATGTTTGATATGAGAAAATTCATGAATCTTCTATCAAAAACAAACGACAAAATTAGTGTTAAAAAACAAAAGAAAAGTATTAAAGCAAAAAAAATTTCTGTTGAAAATTTAGAAAAAGTATCACCATCTGGTGACTTTGTAAGCTTGCCAAAAAGTCGTGATTCTCTGAAATGTAGTGAAACTTCAGATAACAACGCACAAGCAATCGAACAAATTACTGAACTAGAAACAAAATTTCTAGCAAATCAGGAGGATCATTCAGTCATAGATGCATTAGTCAACTTGGCAATGTCTGGTGACAGTTTTTTGTTCAAACATGTTAAAGCATGTTTTAGAAAATTTGCTCTCAAACATATTCACATATTTCATGTTTTAAATGAAAATAATGATCTACCCAAGAGGAAAAAATTAAAATCAGAAAAGTCTCCTCTCAATACAAAAAAAATTCAAACACTGTTAGAAATGATATTGGTTGGAAAAGAGTTGGATGGGAGCAAGGAAATGTGCTTGGTGTTGAATTCACTGCTATCAAGGCTCTCCGGCGAATGCAGTGAGAATATGGAATACTGCATTCAGCTCGTTTTAACTATTTTTTCTCAAATTATTAGCACATGGAAGAAATCAGATGTAAAGAAATGTAATTATGAAAACTACATCAATATTGAAGTACTAGTCAATACCTTGAGACAGACAAAAAATTTCCAGACGCAACAACACGTTTTATTGTGTCTGGCTGATTGCATAGTCATTAATCAGGATCAAATGCTTCACAACATAGTTTCTATATTTACGTTCATGGGTGACAGTTTGTTACAAAAGGATGATTTATATACGTCCCAAGTAATGACAAAATTGATCGATGTCATTTTATCTGCTGTCAGACAACTTCCTGAAAATTCAAAAAAAGTTGATGAAATTTTGCTTGACGTTTTTCGAGTGTTTGTTGATGCAAGGAAACACATTTCTCAACATAGATTGATTCCATTGTTCAAGCAGTTGGTTGGCTTTGATCTTGATGAATGTTTGTGGAAGTTGCTAGTTTTGGTAATTGAATCAAATGTCAGACGGAGAGATGCTACAATAGTTGATCTGAAGGGTGCAACAACAGATAAACAGATGCAAAATGTTGATCTTGACATCATTGCGGTTTTATTATCCAACTACACAGTTGAGACTCAATTGAAAACAATGAACAAACTGGTAAAGTTTCTTGATGAATTTATATCGATCCTAGTAAAAAGTGATTCTTCAATAGCTATTGTTGATTCAAGTATCAAAAACTTTCCTCAGTTGTGCCGAATGTTAATATTTAATCTCAATAAAATTATTTTATCTGCTGTTGCTGACAAAGATTTCATAATGGAATTCTTGTGTAACATGGACAAAGAGGTTAGCAACAAAGAAATTGAAAGTTTGTTCAAAGAATTGGTTAATAGATTCATCATTTATATGCTGAAGATAACAGAGCAGCAAAAAACTAATATATCTGAAAAAATCTATGAAAAGTATTATTTTTCTCTTATGAAAATCATACACAACACTCTTGAAAAAATTAATTACCTGATGCCTGCTCACTTGTTTGTTGATGTTATGGAAAGTTTGTTGAATCACGAACAAGCTTCTGCTCAATGCCAGGCTTTAGAGTTGATCAACTCTAAACTGCTTCAACTGGAACACAGCCTTTCACTTCGCAAGTCATTTGAATGTGGACTAAAGTTGGTTCCATTACTTATTATATCACTGGAAAAAGAGAAGAGCAAATTAGATGCAATTTATTTGAAGTATCACAAACAGTTGTGCTTCATGAATTTGAAAATGCTCTGCAGATACTATGGACCTGAAAATATGAACGAATTTGAATTACTACCTGAGGTTATCAACAAGATTTTAATCAGACAAGATGAAGCCAACCCTGCTCTAATTGATAGTTCGCTCTTATGTTTGGTGGATTTAATTCCAGTGCAAAAAAATAAGTTTTTTCCACATCTGAAGCCCATGATGATCCCTTTCATGAATCTCTACAACAACAACCAAATCCTTAAAAGTCCAATATCCATACAGTGTGTGCTGATGGTCATCAGCAAACTGATCCAACATCTGGGTCATTTCTTGGGTCCATACTTAAACAACATAGTTCAAATGCTTTGCACTGTTTACACTCAAGATGATATCAAACACCAGTACTTAGATTATTTAATGAAAGTTTTGAGCATGTTAGCCAAGAATATTGACCTACGATTGTTTTTGCCATGTATAGTGAAAGCGTATGAAGAGCTTGTGAATAAGAATCCACGTGGTCTTTTCATTTTATTCAAATTGTTTCATGATTTAATGGAAAACGCCACCAAAGAAACCACAAATACATACCTGAAGATGATAACCGAGGTTGTCTTTTTGTTCTCAAGCCTCAGAGTTGATGCTTCAGTTCTGAAAATGAATGAATTAATGGAGATCGAGAATATTTACACAGATTCAATTCTCTCATTCGTCGTCCATCTGTCAGAAGTTACTTTCAGACCAATACTGCTAAAATTTTTCAACTCTCTAGACGACAATGTTGATAGATTGGTAACTTTTTACCATTTAATTTTCAAATTATCGCGCAAGCTGAAAGCCATATTTAACATTTTCGTCAGTATTCTTATAAAACAAATGGCTGATATCCTTGTTCAGCATGATACAAAGCTAACTGGTGATGATAATGTGACGGAATGCAAAACGAAGTTACTGGTAAATTTTGTGCTGGACACCATAAGCGAATGTTATTTACATGACGTTGACAGTTCTTTGTCGTCTGGGACGGGAGATGCCCTGTTTAAACCCTTAATTAGTCAAATGGAAAATTATTCTGGCAATGATTCACTGTATGAAGAAACGATGACGCACCTGATTCCATGCATTGTTCAGCTAATGCTCTCCATAAAGGACAATGACCAACTTTTCAATCTGCACAAGCTGATTTGTCAACAGATGAAAAACTCAAACTCCAAGGTGAGAATGTCTGCCATTCGAACAATTAAAGATGTTGCAAGTGGAATGGGTTGCTCATATGAACTGCTCTTTCCAGAAACAGCACCCTACCTAGCTGAATTGTTGGAAGATGATTCTGAAGACGTTGTCAAGGAGAGTGAACATTTAAAGAAATTTCTTCAGAAAACAATTGATTTGGATACATTTTTTTAGTTTTTTTTTTCTTATTTATTTGTACTTTCTTTTTACTTTGTAATTTCTATTAATCGACACAGTTACTTGTTTGTTATAAATATCGTTAATAGATAATGTTAGTTTCTTCTGTTGTCAAAAAATTTCTTATGAAAATACAGTTTTTTAGTTTCTTTCAAAAATTTGAATATTTACTGATGTTTTAAATAGCATGTTAACGCTTGGTCAATGTAGCGGATTGGAACGTGAGCGCTGGTTTTAAAATTATAAATAGAATTAAAATGCTGGCAGCGAGGGTGATTGTGTCTGGTGGGATGACAATTGATGAAGCATAACTCATCTGATTGGCAATTAGGATGTTTTATTAGCTGATTGTGTAATTTTCATAGTGCAAATCCTGCGGATGAAGTGGAACGTAATGAAATGCTTAAAATTTTGGTTGGGCAGTAAAAAATACTTGGCATGGTGGTAATAGTAAAAAAATTTGCTCTACAGGTACGTTCTAGTGATGCGATTGATGCATCCTAAGACAATTCAAAAACGTTTATTAGATTATTCAGTTTATAAATGTTATACTGAGTGGTATATGTGTGAATAGCTATTTAACTTGTTTAACATTCATATGGAACCCACCCTTAAACTGGCCTACCAAATACTTGACATAGATTGCTTTTGACTTTTGATGGTAGGTGAAGTTAAAGGTCACCTGGTAACAAACGACGTTCAAGCGAACGAATCTTGTACAAGATTTAAAAGAGGTTGTTCATTAATTCGCTGCGTTCGAACATTATTTTTTTTTAAATAACATTTAACATGTTACGAACGAGTCGTAATGTCCGCTTATACAGGTTGTCAACCCTTCTTACGAAGGTAAAAACATTTTTTTCATATGTCCCTTTCCATTTTTAACGTTGTATATGTCCCTTCTATGTGTTGAATTTCAAATTATTTTTCCAATTCTGTTTTTAAAGAGTTTAATGTTGTCACCTCAGATCAAATACGTTGTTAATTTTTAATCTTAAGCACATTTTTTCAAACAGGAGCAAATTCATTTATTAAAAAAATAAATCTTATTTATTTTGACAAGAATTTTGTCATTTTCCTAGAAATCTCTCCCTGTTTCAGCATGTTTTGAGCGAATGGTTGGCACAAAACTTGATCCTGAATGGTGTGAATTGGCCAGGAAGCAACTGAAAGGACAAGATCCAGAAAAGAAACTAACATGGCATACAGCAGAGGTTAATTTTTTCTAATCTAATTTTTTATTTTTTTATAATTTAAAAATTAAATATGCGGATATATGCCTCTAATACTGTATGATTAAATTATTTTTTAATTGCCTAATGTAACAATCATAATCAAACCTAAATTCAAGGGGATAGATGTGAAACCATTGTACACCAGAGATGATACAGCTGAGATGGCAAAAGAAGTGCCAGGTAAGTACCCATTCACCAGGGGGCCATATGCTACCATGTACACTGGTCGTCCCTGGACTATCCGCCAGTATGCTGGATTCAGTACTGTGGAAGAAAGCAACAGATTCTACAAGTTGGTTTGAGAATGCATGCATTGGTGTGGTGCATGTCATTGTTATGCATTTAGTGCATTCATTTATTTGGTACATGTTATAAGTTTGATGCTATGAAGAACAATGAGTAGTTGTGTTCCCAAGACAAGAATAGAGTGATTTTGTACAATGCATCTTCAGACTAATAAATTGACACTCCATTTCACAGGGCCAACATAAAGGCAGGACAGCAGGGTTTGAGTGTGGCCTTTGACCTCGCGACACACAGAGGTTATGACTCTGACAATCCAAGAGTTCATGGTGATGTGGGCATGGCAGGTGTGGCGGTGGACAGTGTGGAAGACATGAAATTGTTGTTTGATGGCATCCCTCTCAACAAACTTTCTACTTCTATGACTATGAATGGTGCTGTTCTGCCCATATTAGCCATGTATGTTGTAGCTGCTGAAGAACAGGTCGGTTTTTTTGTGATAAGCTGGTTGGTTGGTTCGTTGGTTGGTCGTTTATTAGTTGATTGACTAGTTGTTGGCTGGTTGGTTTTTATTGTTTGATTTGCTGAATAATTGATTGGTTCATTAAATGATTGATCCAACTGTTTTTTTTAATTAGTTGTTCCACCTACCTATTCATCTATCCATCATTCACTTTAAATCAGGGATGCAAGCAAGCAGAACTCGCTGGCACCATCCAGAATGACATATTGAAGGAGTTCATGGTGCGAAACACCTACATCTTTCCTCCAGAACCATCCATGCACATCATTGCTGATATCTTTGCTTATCTCTCTAAGGTTCATCTGAATGTTTCATTGATTGATTCATTCATTCATTTGTTATTTGGTGAAATAGTTGTTTGTGTAAATTATATACATCACAATATTATCCAATCTCGCGGTCAGAACCTGCCCAAGTTCAACTCCATCTCCATCTCTGGATACCACATTCAAGAGGCAGGAGCAGACGCCGTCCTTGAAACGGCCTTCACATTGGCTGATGGACTGGAGTACTGCAGGACGGGATTGAAAGCGGGATTGAAGATTGATGAGTTTGCTCCGCGCCTTTCGTTCTTCTGGGGTATAGGAATGAATTTTTACATGGTTAGTTTGAATTGTGTGGTCAGTCTGAATGTTCTACAGACCATCTATTAATTTGGAGTGAAATATAATCAATTGAACAAAATATTTCTGTAACTTAATTTTTGTATCTTACTACATCCCAACAGGAGATAGCAAAACTTCGAGCAGCTCGCAAATTGTGGGCCACCCTCCTTAAAGAAAAGTTTCATCCAAAGAAGGATTTGTCAATGATGTTGAGGTGCCACTCACAAACATCAGGATGGTCACTCACGGAACAGGTTGGTCAGTTGGTTGATTTATGGAATGGTTGATGGTTGAGTTAGATAGAAACTATCTATTGTATGACCAATCATTTTTTTAGAAGATATCAACCACCAGCCAATCAAAATCCTATTCACAGGACCCATACAACAATATCATCAGAACATGCATCGAAGCAATGGCGTCGGTATTTGGGGGCACCCAATCCCTACACACCAACTCGTTCGATGAGGCTCTCGGTCTGCCCACCCCCTTCAGTGCCCGCATCGCCCGTAACACGCAGATCATCATTCAAGAAGAATCCGGAATTCCCAAAGTGATTCTGTTCACAATGATCATCTTCACCTTTATGATTTATTATAATAGCAATCATCTTCAGCATCATCAGACTTCACGATCAGATGTATTTACTTAACTACATAATCATTAATTCAATAACTGCGTCCCCACTCACCAGGTGGCAGACCCGTGGGGGGGATCGTACATGATGGAATGTCTAACTCAGGAGGTCTACGAAGGTGCTTTGAAGGTCGTCAATGAGGTGAGGTCTTCGATATCAACATTCTTTGTCATCATCATTTCTGTGATAATGACAATAAAGATGATGATGATGACAATGGCGATGATAATTACAACGACTCAACTTTGATTAACCAACCAATTTTTGACTCAGATTGAAGAAATGGGTGGAATGTCGAAAGCAGTGGCCAGTGGCATGCCGAAGTTGAGGATTGAGGAGTGTGCAGCGAGAAGGCAGGCTAGGATTGACAGCGGCGGTGGTCAGATCTCGTTACCCACTACATATCTCGTTGTTGTAGCTGTTGTTAATTAACCTAGATTGCTAAATGTGTTTTGTTGTTTTTTTTCGGATATCCTGATGTTGCATTTCGTTTCCTTCGTCCAAAAATTCACTTATTCGTTCGGTTATTTGGTTTTATAATAATTTCTACTGAATGATCGATTGACGACTACAACTTCAAAAACTCCTCCCACCAAACAGAAACCATCGTGGGAGTGAACAAGTACCGGCCAGCAAAGCCGGAGTACGTGGAGGTACTGACCATCGACAACACGAAGGTACGAGAGCAGCAGATTGCCAGACTGAAGCACATCAGAGAGACCAGGGACAATGCTAAGGTTTCCACTCGCTTTCCTACGCTAATATGTTTGTTTGTGTGTTTGTGTGTCTGCTTGTATTTGTTTATTTTCTCTGTTTAGTTTAGGATAATATGATGCAAGAAAGCACAATCTATTGCTTGCAGGTGCAACGAATCTTGGATTCGATTACAGAGTGCTGCAAAAGCCAGCATGGAAACCTTCTCGAACTTTCGATTGAGGCGGCCAGGGCTCGAGCTTCAGTTGGAGAGATCACAGATGCCATGGAGAAAGTGTACGGACGACACGTGGCTGTCCACAGGCTCGTTAGTGGCTCCTACAAGAACGAGTACGGTGATGCTGACGAGATTAACAAAGTTATCGAGAGGATCAAGGTCGGTTACGTGAAATAATGCTTTTTTTGTGTTGTTATTGTCATGTTGCATCTGTCGCTTCACTGTTATTTAAACAAGTGAACGGCATTTGCGAAACAATTAACGAAAATGAGATAAATTAAGAACTTGTTTTGTGTTTTAGTTCAATCTATCATTTATAATTGATTACTTTTTTGTGTTTTTAATAAAAAAAAGTTAAATTTTAGAGAGTATAAATTATTTTTAAATCATGAAATTCCAGGAGTTTGTGGCCATTGAAGGCAGGCGCCCTAGAATCTTGATAGCGAAGGTGGGCCAGGACGGGCACGACAGGGGCGGCAAAGTTGTGGCCACTGGATTCGCAGACATGGGCTTCGACGTTGATATCAGTCCTTTATTTTCGGTGATGTATTTGTTAATATTATACCATTAGCATTCATCGTGGTTAAAAATTGTCTCATTAATATTTATATAATAATTAATTATAATGTAATGTACCGCTGACCAACGTAGACGCCAGCAGAGGCAGCCCAGCAGGCAGTTGATTCAGACGTTCACGCTGTAGGCGTGTCTTCGTTGGCAGCTGGCCACATGACCTTGGTGCCTGAGGTCATCGAACATCTCAAAAAACTTGGAAGGCCGTAAGTATTGGTAGTTTATGGGGAGGGGTAATATGATGACGGTGATGATGATGAAGAGGATGATTATGGTGAGGAGATAAAGTTGTCTGGTGATTACAAAAGTGGTCAGTATTGTAAATATATACATGAAAATTATGATCATGAGCATCACCATCATCGTCATCATCATCGTTAGTTTCGTCATCATCGTCGTCATTTTCATCACCTCCATCGTCGCAACAGTGATATCCTGGTGTTCGTCGGAGGCGTCATCCCTCCGAAAGATTATGACTTCCTCTACAAAGCTGGTATTGTCGATATCTTTGGGCCAGGTGACGAGGATCATGATGATGATAATGATGATAATGATGATGATGATGCTGATGATGATAAAATTGACGGTGTTAATGATGTTTGCGTGTAACAGACGCCAAAAGTTGATGGCCAGATTAAGAAGTATAACACTCAACAAATACACGAAACAAACGCAGCAACTCAAACAATGGCAATAAAATTAGCGATAACAATGAAAAAACAAAGGCTATAACAATAATAACAAAAATAATTACAATAATTACAATAATAAAAACAATAATAATAACATTCTAATTACGTCATTTTCATCACAACAGGCTCCCGCATACCGGATTGCGCCCTGAGAACCATCAACCATATCATGGAAAAAGACAAGTACACGAAGACAAAAGCCACCGGATAAATTAATAAATTATGATAATGAGTCGATTAATTGTTAATGATATTGACAAAATTATGATAATGGGTCGGTTAATTGTTAGTAACATTAATTAACCAAATGCACGGACGTGAAATGCGATTTATCATGAAAGCATTGAAAACTTTTCTACTTGACAACTCTAGTTAGCTAGTTGATTCTAACAATTTTTTTGGTATTTATATTCTGAATATTAATCAACTAATAATTATATTTTAAAAAATATTTTATTAAGCTACAATACTTTTCAAATTTATTTATTAATTTATACTTACCTTTTTCCTGATTCTAAGTTTGTTTCTTTGTAGTTGCAGATATGTTAGAAACTTTTTATTTTGCCGGGAATTCAAAATCTTCGAAATTTTTGCTAGGACTTGTTAATATTATCACATTGTCGTTTTTGTTTCGTTACCGCTCAGATGGGAGAGAGAATGAAATAATCATATTCTAAGTCATGTGCCTTATTATTAACGTTTCGAATTCAATACGAAACTATTTCTTTGTTTTTTAATTTATTTATGGAGTATTTTTCTACTGTTTGATCGGCATGGTTTATATTTCTCCACATCAGTAGTTGTTTTTTCATCCATCTCAAATCAAATATATCGAATCGTCACATATTAATTAATGTTTAATATTTCATTTGTTATCAATTTTGTTCAAAGTTCTGACAAAATGTATTGAATTATTTCCTTTAGTCGACAAAATTATGTGAAAAATCAATTATGTATTTTATTTATTTGTACAGAAACGTTACATTTCTTTTTTTATTTTCAACATTTTAAAGAAATAAAACTTCATACAAATTGTCGCGATTGGTGTAGTGAACAACCGTAATGATAGTGTAAAACGATTACAGAAGTCTCTGCTATTAATCTTACACATGTGTATGTTGATACATACATTTGTATGTTGATACATATATTTGTATGTTGATACATATGGTGTATGTTCACGAAACTGATTAGGCATAAAGCTGTTATATATTTTAGACAGATTTTAAAGAAATTCGTCATTCAGATCAAAATTTAAATTAATTTCAACACAACGTGACAATATGAATAAAAGAATCACTACAGACATGTTGTAGTGACCATGAATACAGAAACATACATGCATATAATTCAGATACAGACTTATAAGATAAAGAAATATAGATATAGTTTTTATATCGCCGGCTGAAAAACAAGAATAAAAAGCACATAACGAAGCTCTGCCTGTCTTATCATTGAAAAATGTTTAAAAATATTCACGATAATCTATAAAAATTGTCGAGTTTAACATTAATTAATTAATTAATTCAATATTCGTGTAAACTTCAGGCATAGAATTGAACCATTCTTTGAACGTAAGCTACAGATAATAAAAAACTATCAAAATGTAATGAAAAAAATCTCTTAAATAATAATGAAAAATTATTATCGATGGTTATAATAATATTATTAATAATATTAATATTGCAAACTCAATCAATGATGACTTATTAGCAGCACACACGCTTTCAATGTGAGTGTACATATATCGAAAGATTATGAAACTGATTTTTAAAACTGCTCGTGTAGATTCAACACACTCATTATAACCACAAACTCAAGTAAATATCTTTAATATACCGAACAAATATCTCATCCAATCACATTCGCACAATAATTAATACAAACTCAAAACTAATTTAGATAATATATCGGGGGGCTCTATCTAGGCAAATTCAATTGGGGGATGGGCAAGGTTTGACGGAGAGACAAAAACCGGAAACTTTGAAAAACCGTGTTTTATGTATAAAAATCAATCGAACAACATATATTGGGGAAATTTTTGAAAAATTGTAACAAAATGGCATGCCCTGGGTCACCACCCTAAATACCCACTGCAGATAATACGGTAAAACTAATATATTACAAATAATTGGTAAAATAATTAGATAACATAATAAAAGTCTTTATTTATGAAGAGCGAACTTGTTTATTTGTTAGTATAACATTGTTGAAGAATTATTTAAAGTTTCCGATATATATATATATATATATATATATCTTACACTATATATATATATATATATATATATATAATAATATTTGTTGATACAAAATGTAATTCATAAAAGATACTTAAAATCATATAGAAAAATATGTGTTACATTGCATAGTGAACCTATGGAATGTATTTTGAATATATGTATGTAGGTGCATATGAATGTGTAGGTACCTGCGAATGAATCAGATCACAATAGCATCATTATTAATATTACACTGGTTTGTACGGATGGATGTGGTATGATGTCTGTGTTGAATAACATGGAATTTCATTTGATCATCTTAAATTTGAATGAATTAAATCACAATTCAAAGAGAGAGAAAAAATTAAGAGTGTTCTGACGCTATTATCTACCTACCATGGGTGTGTGTGTGTGTGTGTGTGTGTGTGTGTGTGTGTGTGTGTGTGTGTGTGTGTGTGTGTGTACGTGTATATATATTCGTAATTATAACAAATGATATGGAAGAATAATCTCATATATATATATATATATATATATATATATATATATATATATATATATATATATATATAAAACATTTTACAAATTTCAATTTAGTTAAGAATAGATGACGAAAAGAAGGAAGGAATAGAAATACAATGTGAGTTATCACTGTCAGCCATCAGCAGACACATACATACCAAGGACACATTGTAGTGAACGACGAACAAACAAACAAACGAACGAACGAACAAATAAACAAACACTTTGAAAAATGACAACCGACACTGTTTAACATTGCTAATTCTAGAGATTGCTAATTCTAGAGAGTTGAAATGAAAAATTTAAAAAAATAATTCACATGTAAAAACTCTTCTCAATCTCACAATTCAATATAGAAATGAACGATTCGTTGTAAAAGAAAATTTAAAAAAAAATGAAACGGAAACGTTCACATTCGTTGCTCATAAATTTAGCTTACAATATATCCATATATGTAATAATTAAACATTGATATATGCGTACAATGTATGTATATTGTACTAAACAATCATATGTGTACAATAATTATATAACCGTACGTACAAAAACGTGTACCGTAAAAGTTCAAATATGTACTTTTCCTACATACCATTGATGTCATTTGTTGTTAGTTTGATATCACATGTTAATAACTAAAACTAAAACATACTTGTGTGTGGGTGTATGTGGGTGTGTGTGTGTGTACATGTATACACGTGTGTATATGTATGCAAGTGAGTGTGTGTTTGTGTGCGTGATAGTGTTAGTGTCAACTTTTACAATCTAAATCAGAGTATCTACAAATGGTATGTCTTTGATATTAATCTATATCAGAAGAAACAAGTGATTTCATTAACACGAAAATTAAAAGTAGTCAAAAATGTTGTGAGAGAAAAACTTCAAGAAGATAGAACAGAGCAATGGCAATTACATTGATGGTGATTACAAAGATGATAATAACGACGACTATGGTGAAAATGGACGACGATGATGATAGTTGTGATGATAAAATGATAAAGAGATTATAGTGATAGTAACAATAAATGAAGGCCCATTGTGCAAGCGATAGGGATAAAAGTAACATACAAGTACACAAAAATATATACTAATTAATTAATTTATTAATAAAAACATTAATTAATTAATTAATTAATTATCAATTAATATCAATTAAACCCAATTAATCAATTAAACGATAATAATATCAATTGGTCAAAATAAAATCAAAAAATTAGTCACATTCTAACTAATGAGGCAAATGTCACATGAATTCTTTCAAACTAGCCAAAAAAGCAATATTTAGTTGAACGTATCTCAATATAAAATTGATATGATTTTTAAAAATTCGCGTGTGAGTGTTTGTGTGTGTGTGTTTGTGTGTGTGTGTGGCGTGTATGTGTGTGTGAAAATGAAAAGAAATCGTGAAAATTAAAATGTTACAGTAATTGAAAATGTAATAAATAAATAAAGTAAAATAGAATATAAATCTCATTGGGGAAAGTGATTTAGTGATGTGTATCATCATGTCAGTCAACTGAACAAACTTTTATAAAATACCAACCAACCAGTCAACCAACCATGCAATTAAACAATCAGCCAGCCAGCCAACCAACTAACCAACCAGTCAACTAGCCAATCAATCATGCAATCGAACAATCAGTCAACCAGCCAGCCAGCCGGCCAACCAATCAGTCAACCATCTAATGGAATTGTGACTCGATGGCCAGTATCTGAGGGCATTCGACCATCGCTCTAGACACCAGTAACTGCATGTACTCCTTCAATCTGGAACATTCTTCCGAGAGCTCTATGGACGATGATGATGATGATAAAATAATAATAATAATAACAATGCGATAATAATGATGGTATGATGATAATAATGATGATGATGACGATGATGGCGATAATAATGGTGAAAGACAAAAAATGATATAAACAGACATACTCTTGTTGTTGGAGACCAGCTCTTCAATTTCCCGATCACGAACTTTTAATTTATTCTCAAGGACTGTAGATGTCCAACGACGAAATTATAACATAACAATTAATATCAAAATTATTTTTTCTATAATTACTATTATTATTATAATTATTATAATTATTGTTATTATTATTAACAATTATTGTCAAGATGAAAATAAACACCAATCCTACATTACAATTGAAATCCAAACATCATTACATTGCATTCAATGCGTTGCAGTTAAGGCTATTAATACTGCTACTACATTCTAGTAGGTGAGTAAATAATATAATGTAGAAGTAGAGGTAGTAGTAGTACTAGCGGCAGTATTGTGGTAGCCGCAGCAGCAGTAGTAGTAGTAGTAGTAGCAGTAGTAATAATAGTAGTAGCCGCAGCAGTAGTAGTGGTAGTAGTAGTTGTAGTAGTAGTAGTAGCAGCAGCAGTAGTAATGATAGAAGTATAAAAAAATAACACAATTGATTTACTTGTGATTTGGTCTAGTTCTCTTGTCCTTTGCTGTTAGAAACGATGAATTAGATTGAATTACATACAATGAAACAAAAAATGACTATAAATGATTCATGTGAAAAGTTAATAACGCTTTATGCAACTTGAATGATGAAACACAGGTGACATATGTACGCCATTGAAAAAGAATACATAGCGTATACATAATAGAATACATAATGTATGCATAATAGAATATACAAAGAATACATAATGTATACATAATAGAATATACAACGAATACATAATGTATGCATAATAGAATACACAAAGAATACATAACGTTTACATAATAGAATACATAAAGAATACAAAATAATATATATATTATTTAAATGGTATTTCATTCATATATATACTGCTTCATATATTTCCAAAAATTAACCAAAGAACTAGCTAACACGAGAATGAACCAAAAGTGACTCAGCCAAATCAGGAATGAATGAATGAATGAATGAATGAATGAATGAATGAATGAATGAATGAATGAATGAATAGACGAATGAATGAATGAATGAATGAATGAATGATTGAAAAAACTATTGAACAATTATTGAATAATGAATCATTCAAAATTGCTCCTAAATAGCAAAAAAGCTACTAACGATTGGTTGAATTTCCACAATGGGAGGGGCTACAGACGATCTTGAACTTGTTGACGTCGTCAATGCAGATGGCTTAACAGCATTTGTGTTGCTGCTATACAATGAAGATGACGTCAAAGTTGATAATGTCATTGGTGTCGTTGTTGTTGTCGGTCTCACGGCGGTTGCTCCTGCTGTTGCAGAGTTCAATATTGTTGCTGCTGCTGCTGTTCCGTGCTGTGTGAAATGTATCGCTGTTGTCGCCGCTTTTGTCGCTGAGACTTCATGTGAAATAGGAGAGGCGTTAGATTTTTGGGCTGCTGAATGCGTTTCATTGAAAATTAAATTGAATTAGCGCGAAAACCAGCTGGGTAAAAATACGTCAAGTCTTATTAAAAAAAAATTTCATCTTTCAATCATTTAACAATTTTTTCACAACACTTCATAAAAACTTTCAAGATAAAAATTTAATCGGAAATATTTCAACAATTTATCATCCAGTGATTTTTAATAAATATAAAAAGAAAAAAATTCGTCTATGAGATAGATTAGAAACATAAGCAGAGCGCAGACTTACAGTACGAGACGCCAGCATATTCATCGTGAACTTTGTTCAAGCCATTTACATCCTCCTCCTTCTCTTTCACTTGATCTCTGACATGGACGACACCCTCCTTTGGTCTCTGGTTGTCATCAATGAACTTGAATTCCACCAGGGATACGCCTACCCCACCGGAAATAGTTTCCACCATGATGGAGCCCCAGGTCGGCTTGCTGACAGGTCCAACGTGACAAATTATTTTCGACGGAGACTCGTACTCCAGTGTATTTATGTAATCCTTTCCACAGACCTGCAGAGTTGGCAATGCTTGAATTTTTGAATCATTTTGAAAGAGGTAGGCAACATAACAGACTTATAAATTTACAGTTAATAATGTAATACAAATAAGCTGGGAAGGAAAATGAAATAAAACAGAAACCATGATCTTCAAGATGTCCACGTTGGAATCTCCCAGATGTGCCCCTCTTATGGTCAACTTGGTGGGCTTGTAGTAGGGGGCTTCCTTCGGCGACACCCCCGTTATTTCCGGCTTCAATATCGGCTCCTTCTCAAATGAGGATGATGAGGAGATAGACTCAGCTACGGCCATTGTCGTTTCTGGAGAATCTTTATCCTTACTCAGCGTCCACAAACTTTTTGATCTTTGGTTCTTCAAGTCAATATGGCTCTGATGGTAAATGATGTAAATGACTGATTAATTTCAAATAATTAACAACAAATAATTAAAATTAAACGAACTTCAATTGTTACATTAAAAAATAGTAAAATATAATACAATAGATGATAACTCAGTGATAATACAAATAAAACGTTGATAAAAAAAAAGAGAGGAAAGACCTTCTTCAAGCTGCCATGAGGACTGCTGCTGTCATTGCTGCTCCTTCTGCTGTCATTTGATAGGAAACTACCCGACGCTTCAACAGCTTCTCTTCCCTCAAAAACTTGTGGAGGATTCACGAAACAAAACTGCACCAGGGACACACCTCTGCCCCCTGACTGAGTCTCAACGGATACATTACCAGAACCTGCCTTCCAAGGTTTCGTCGTGCAGATCAGTTTATTCGATGATATGTACTCCAGGCTGGAAAGAACATTTGATCCACACACATACAAACCAATCACATCCTCTTTGTTTCGACCCAAATTTTGACCTCTTATTGTCAATTTGGTTCCTCCATTCAATGGGCCTTCTTTTGGTGAAACTCCAGAGACCTGGGGCAGAGTAGAAAAACGCTTTGTTTGATTTTATGTAACGTTCATAGTATTTATACTATGTAGCGCATGAGTCAATAATTTTTTATTAGTTGGAATATAATTGGGTGCAAAAGGTACGACATCATTTGGGAGATGGCAGAGAGATCAGTAAGAGTGCAAAACTGAACAAACTTCTGGTTTAATATTTGATCCACTATCACAGGAGTTGTTATTAAAGGTCATGAGTTTGGAATCATCACTGATGTTTTGAGGTCCTTGTGACATGCTTGGACTGAAAAACTCTTGAATGTTACTGAATGATTTGCGCTTCGTTGCATATAAGTTGGAAGACCTATGTGATGAAAAGTTATAAAGATTAATGATTTACAATGATGGAGATATATTCAACTGTTATTGAAATTCCTGAAAATTTAACTATCAATCAAGAATTTTCAATGAATACTTTTTAAGTATGACAGTTCAACTAATTCAAAGACATTAAAAAATATTATCAACACCATTTGTAAACCAAAAAATATTTTTGAAAACAGAAAAAAGCACACGTTTTAAGCCATATTTTTCAAGCAGACAAAAAACTAACGGATCTGCCAGTTGCATCTGTTGTTTGTTACCAGAACTTTCATTTTTATGCCCAGAATATAGCAGCTTATCTTTGATCTTGGAGAGGCCAAGAGGTAGCATGGACTTCTTCCAGCTGTCAACACTCTTTGCATCGTCCTCATTAATTTTCTTGTACATGGAGATCCATGCCTTGAAATTGAGTTCCCCGCATGCTGCAGTGTTTTTCTTATATGGCTGGAATGGAATGGTCCTGAAGGCATCTTGAGGGTTGTTTGGGAGGTCGTAGATGGGTACAATGATCTGCCCCAACGTGTCCCCTGAATGTTTTTCCACAACTTTGAAGGAGAGAGAAGAAGTTGGATCTGATACGTTGCTGTGCAATAGGAAAAGTTATTATATAACTTGCATTTTAAAAAATATTTCAAAAATGTTTTTTTCAAATTAACAAATTTAGTATTTAAGAAAGAGCTGATATAAAACTATTCAATGTATTACCCATCACTGTCACAATATCATTGAAATTATTATTATTAAAAAAAAAACAGTTGATATAATTACATTTCCATCTCAGTGTTAAATGTTGGACAGCCGTGAAAGTCTTCAACAGTATCTGTTTTGAACTTCTTAGAGCCAACGCCGAACACAACTGTGAACTTACAGTGCTCATCTGTAGTGGCATGTTCATTCAGAAATAAGAACATTACAATAAAAGTATACAAGAAATGGAACTCTGCTAGCTGAATTCTTAGCTGAAATTTTTCGTTAAACAGTCGAAACTTCTAAGAACATTCAAGAAAAGGTCTATCCAATAAGAACACATTAAAATAGTATGAAAAATGTATGAAACCATAAAACTAAGAGTAAAAAACATATACTTCAAGTCTTATAACTTGAAAAAAATCATTGAAACAAAGTACACAAAAACCTTTTCTGGACTTCAATCCTTTGGCACTGTAAACTGTAATAAAAAACAGAAACAATAAATAAAATTCTGAAAAACATTCTAATTAAAGTGCTTGATCAATAACTTTTTCTGATAAAAAATAAAACATATTACAAAATACAAATTAATTAAAAATTCATTATTCAATCCAGATTGAGATTTTAGAATACTAGCTCTAATCTAATGCCAATCTAGTCTAGCTCAGCTGATTTATTCAGTTCAAAAGTTTTTTTTAATTTTTAAATCAATGGTTTTCTTATTTTAGTTTGAATTGAATGTTTAAAAAAGTAAAGCTTTGAACTTAGAAGCCTCACAACCTTACCTTTATTAATTCATTAACATGTGCCTTGATTTTTAATATTTTTTTTTTATAAAAAATATATTTCACTTAATTCCTAATCTGACTTCCCTAATCAATCCTCCTAACCAGGAAAAAATAACAAACAGTAACAAATTAAATTAAAAAACCGCAAAACTGCAAAACCAACCAATGACAGAAATAATTTCTGGGACCTTGCGAAGTGACGACATCTCGAAATATCCTGAATTAAATTATAAAATCTCTTTTTATCATAACACACCAAAATTACGAAAAAATATTTAATTTAAATAACTTATTTTGAATAAAAGAAATATTTTAAAAAATCGTATTATTTTTTAAGTTCATCAACTTTTCAGGGATGGCAGAGGTATTTTTAATAAATTAAATTCTTAAAATTCCTGAGGTGCTCCTACGAATAAGTGATGAATGTTTAATGAGTGATCATAATAAAAAGAATGCATATTTATAAGCAGAAATAATAAAAATAATAACACTAATTATTATAATAATTGTAGAAATAATAAAAACAGAATAAAATAATGATTAAAAGAAATGTAATTATGAACGTTAATTTGAAAGGATTAGATGATCCATAAAGTACAAACATGTGATGAAAATTAAAAATTCCTGCACATTTTTCAAGAATGTTTTGACTAAATCACACTAACTTGATGTGACACTGAAAATTTTTTGACAAAATTACACTAAATTCCTCATCATCATCAACAACAAAAACATCGTCATCATCAACATCAACAACAACAACATCATCATTATTATCATCATCATCAACAACAACATCATTATCATCATCATCATCATGATCAACAACAACATCATCATCATTAAAGTGGCCTCCTCTTACTTTCAATGTTTAACACGCTGACGATGATTATGTTGGTGATACAGATTGTGATGATGACGTTAATGATGATGAAGTAAAACACACGGGCAATGATGAAAGCAGTTAAGCATATAGGATACATATAACACATTCACTATACATTGGCATGTATATTTACACATATTATTCCCACACAGATAGGATATATACAAACAAACACACACACACAAACATGAACATACAAGAAGCACTAAAAACATACACAACACATACAAACACGCATGATGAAGCAACAGCAGAACGAAGGATGAAAATATATAATGGGTTTTTTCACAGCACGTCATGTTATCACTGGTTATTTAATAACGCGCTGGCCTGCCTGCCTGACATAACGTTTATATGTGCTGTACCGAATTTTTGTTTTCGTTGCTGTCTTTCTTGTTTTCTTTGTTTGTTTTTTTGTTTTTTTTGTAATTTTTATTCTATATTTGATGTTTGTTAATGTTTGCTGATGTTTGTTGATGTTTGTAGATGTTTGCAGATGTTTGTTAATGTTTGCTGATGTTTGTTGATGTTTGTGGATGTTTGTTGATGTTTGTGGATGTTTGTTGGCTATATTTAAAACTATCCACCGTACTTGTTTACTTGTTTGTTTGTGTTGTAAAATTTCTGCTATTGAAAAACCATGTTTCATGTTTGTTTTTTTTATATGACATTTTTAAAGATTTGTTAAAGTTTTTTCTTCGGTCATTAATGTAGTTGCAGTTTTTACAGTTGGTGTATTGTTACTCACTCGAGTCTGCAACTGCTTTCCGTGCGACAAAATAAAAAAATTTTTTGTCGGTATTGTTAGTTTTGCATTGCTGTTCGTCTTTAAGTACAAAACAACGACACTCGCTTTTTCACTGGTGTTTAAGTCATAAAAAATTATTTAAAATAAACAAACAGAAAAATATTGTAAGTATAAACAAAATATAAATAATGGAAAAATACCCATAGCGCCTTAATGGGGAAAGCTTTTCCTTCTCGTTTTGTCGCATCTGTGGTGTTACATCATTTTCTTTCTCTCTTTCTCTCTTTCTCTCTTGCTCTCTCTCTCTCTCTCTCTCTTTCTCTCTCTCATGTTTTTTTATGTGTTTTCTCAATGTGTGCGTGTGCGTGTATTATGTGTGCGTGCGTATTATTTAAATCACATTTCCTGAATAAATTGTTTGAAGCGGAACCAAAAGGCTACCGCGTTTACAATGTACGTTTCAACTTCATTAAACAAACGAGTTTAAGTTTACCAACATACATATTCAACGTGTTTCTGCTGCTATTGTTTGTTTAGTGTCACCATAATGACATCTTGGTGCTATTTTCATTTTGCGTAAAGTTTTTTAATGTTATCACCACCAGTGGAGTTTACGAATGTCACCATTCCAATATCAAAACAGTTACCTAATGGGAATATATTTTCAGCATCATCATCATCGTCATTATCAGAGATCGCCATCATCATCATCGTCGTCGTCGTCATCATCATGAGTATGGACAAACACATTAGTTTCATTTCTCATAGGAATAAGCTTTCAGCCAGACAAGCCAAACTTTTTTTTAAAGTGGCTTTACGGCGATCAAAACTTATTAATAACAGCACTAGCAATAATATTACAAGAGCCTAGAACAGTAATATTACAACATGAAAAAAGCTAGAGAAGTATAATTTAGTAAAGTTTTTTTTACCATCAAACTTTCAAATAACTGCGAAAATATTAAATTAGCACTAACAACAGAAGACAAACAAAATTGTAAAAAAAAACATGAACAAGGCAATAAAGCGAACGCTGGACAGTCTTCAACAAAACGGAATGTTTGATTGAATGTGACTCTTCTGACCCGAACAAACGATTCTACCACAAAACAACATCAACAAAAAAACACATCAAAAACATTAATAACATCAAGAAAAACATGAGAAACAAAACCAAAACCAACGTGAAGAGTGACGCGTGCAAAAACTGAAATCAATATTTGCCTGAATTGGCTGGACAAACTTGCTCGTACATTAACAGAAGATAAATAACAGCGGAAAAGATAACATCACATCAATTGTTTCATGTATAAACATTAAAAACAACAACACTAACAACACAACAACACTAGCAAAGACAACAATAACATGGATGACAACCGCAACAGTAACGTTCTATCAGATAATAAATAACTTACCATCACTAGCGCCAGCATTTTCAAAAAATTTTTAACGTACTGCAAAAATTTGGATAACAACATTGAAAAAAGTAATTGCTTGTCCAATTAATGCATTAATTTTATTTTTAATCACATATCGT